TTACACTGACTAGAACATTTTCAATAGGTCCAAGTACAATAAAAGTCTCTTGAAATAAACAAATAAACAAATTAAAGTGGTTCTCACTCACTTGCTACCATTAATTACAACTTCTTTATTCAATAAATAAAATCAATACAATTCTTATAAGAATAAGAATGGCACAAGAAAGAAATACTAAAAAGCACAAAGTAAAAGATATCGGAGATTGCCTCAACCAAGCTTAGTACACCCCACAATTACGAATTAATACTATTTTTTATTTACAAGTATATTAATAATTATTGTTACATGTAAAAAGTATTTTCGAGAAATTAATAATTACGAATTAATACTATTTTTTATTTACTAATAAATAAATAATTATTCTTACATGCAAAAAGCATTTTCGACAAGTGGCATAAAAAGTCTAATCCTTCTATATATTAAATAAAACTGAATTAATACTTTTTTTTGGTTTTCTAATAAATTAATAATTATCGTTACATGCAAAAATATTTTTCAACAAATGGCATAAAAAGGTGCAGGTCAAGACGGCGCCTGCCTTTTACATGCTTAGGCAGGCGCCTAGCAAAAGTTGCCTAGTACAGGCCGCCTAGTTCATGACTAGGCATTTTTCAAAAAATGCCTCCTTGGCGACGATCGAATTTTCGTTCATTGATACTATGAGACCATTTACCTTTGTTAAAAGGAGGTTATAATTGTTGTGAGCCATTAAATGTCAAATTGGATGGCTTAGGATGTCACTAAGATGGAGAAATTTATCTTGAAAACTTTAAGTCTAACAAATGACACTCTCAACTACTCAATTTGATATGTGATGGACTAGTGTGATTGTTATCTCCTTGCATTAAAAGCAAGTAAAAATTACTAAAATCCCCCAAGTTGGATGTTCTTCTTGTAATGCCTCTAGTTGAAAATCTCTTTCATTTGTTATCCCAAAATACCACTCTTTTTTCACTAGCTCCCCAATGTACTCTTTAACTTTATTTGGGATAAAAGTTCCCTTATTAATGTTTCATATAAAGTAAAAAAAAAAAATCATATTTTTGTCTTTTTTTATTTTTTATTTTACTCTTTCTAAGCCCACCTTCCATGCATAGTCATCTCTGTTAAAATTTAAACGGGTAGGTTAGTTTCTCTCTCTAAGGCTCTCTTTAGAAATGTGAATAGATTTGTTGGTTTGTCTTTCTTTCCCATTCTCTCTAAAACCATAAATTGATTTTTTGGTTTCTCTTTCTTTCCCATTTTATCTCCCAAAGTAGAAAACTATTACATCTCTAGAGAGTGAAACTAGTCCATTTTCATTTTTAAGGAGGGATATGAATATGAATGAGACTAGTTTGCCTTATGGGGAAGAATATTGGGCGGACAAAAAACAATATACAAACATAATGAGTTTAGCAGAGATGAGGATGTTGAGATGGATAAGTGGCAAGACAAGAAGGGATATAATTCAAAATGAATCCATTTAGAAAAATTTAGGTGTAACACCATTAAGTGATAAGATGAGAGAGGGTAGACTTTGGTGGGCTGGCCATATGTGGTGCCGACCCAGTGCAGCGCCTGTTAGGAGGTGCGAGTTAGTTCAAGTAGAAGAATTGAAAAGGGAAAGGGGTAGGCGCAAAAAGATGTGGTTGGAAGTAGTCCAAAAAGATATGGGGACATATGGCCTCATTGAGGGTATGACCTTTAATAGAGTAAAATGGCGAATTAAGATTCATGTAGCCGACCTCAATTAATTGGGATAAGGCTATGATGATGATGATATGAATTATGAATATGAATGAGATTAGGCTTGGAGAGAAAAATGAGATAAAAAAAGGAAAATAGATAAATGTTTATTTTAACTTTTGTAGAAATCATTAGTAGTGGCATTTTTGTTGTTAATAAAGCTAAAAAATAGCCTTGACAGTTGAGTGGGAAAATAAAAAAAGACTTTCAGGCAATGGGTGAGTGACATTTTTTAATGAAGGGTTATAAGGGAAACATCTGACCTGCAGGGGGGGAGGGGATGGGGTTTAGTAATTTTACCTTAAAGTAAATGGTTTCTTTGGGTACCTTTCCTTATCGATAATATCCCATACACACTCATCATCATCATCATCATCATAGTCTTTTCTTAATTAATTGGGGTCAGCTACATGAATATTGGTCTGCCATTCTGTTCTATTAAGGGTCATACCCTCAATGAGGCCAAGATTCCCCATATCGTTTTGAACTCCTTCCAACCATATCCTTTTGAGCCTACCCCTTGCGCTTTTCAATCCTTCAACTTGAACCAACTCACACCTTCTAACAGGTGTTGTACTAGGTCAGCGCCACACATGGCAAATCCACCTAAGTCTACTCTCTTTCATCTTATTGCTTATTGGAGCCACACTTAAATTTTATCGGATGGATCCATTTCGAATTCTATCCCTTCTTGTCTTGTCGCTCATCCATCTCAACATCCTCATCTCTGTTACACTCATTCTATGAATATATTGCTTTTTGTCCACCGAACATTCTGCCCCATAGAGCAAAGCTTATCTCACAGCTGTGCTATAGAATTTTCCCCTTCAGCTTTATTGGTATGGGTCGAACACATAAAATTCCAGTTGTACATTTCCACTTCACCCACCTAGCTCTAATTCTATATGTGACATCTTCCTCAATCTCTCCATTTTCTTGGATTATCAACCCAAGATATTGAAAGTGCCGTCTTTTTTGTACTTACTGACTGTCAATCTTAATTACTTCATCGTCTCTACTCCTATTATTATTAAACTTGCATTCCATATACTCTATCTTAGTCCGACTAATTTAAAATCTTTGGAATCTAGAGCATCCCTCCAATTCTAACTTTGTGTTGACACCCTTTTCGGTCTCATCGATCAAAATTATGTTATATGCGACTAACATGCATCAAGGTACCTCATCCTGTAGGTGCCTAGTTAAGTCGTCCATAACTAAGACAAAGAGGTACGGGCTTAATGCTGACCCTTGATGTAGACCTATTGTCACTGAAAACTCACTTGTCTCTCCACTAGTTGTTTATAACACTCCATTGTACATCTCTCACCAAGTCGGTACAGTGTGAAGAGACTCCTTTCTTGTCCAACACCTGCCAAATCAAATATCCCATGCACTCTAGTAAGTTTAATAATGTCCAGAAGCCATTACAACAAGTGTGGTCTTATTATTGGACTCTTAGGTTTGTAAGGAACTTTGCAGACCTATTATGCCTTAGAAGGCCCCTAGCCTTGGGTTCTATGGGTGTGTCATCATCATCATTCAAGCCTTTTCCCAACTATCAAGGTTGGCTTTACCTGCCATTCTGTTCTATCAAGGAAGATACCCTCAATGAGGCTATAATTTCCCATATCTTTTATTGCTATTTTCAATCATATCTTTTTGGGCATACCTCTTGCTCATTTTGAGCCTTCTGCTTGAAACAACTCACACCTCTTATCATGCGATGTACTGGGTTTGTGCTGCACATGGCTAACCCACCTAAGCCTTGTTTACCATTCTTGCTTGTTGCCAGTAATAATATACACAAGATGATTCGATCCTAGACTGATTCGTTGCAAGCTCAATTATACACAAGGCGTTCTGGTCCTGGTTTGGTCCGTTGCCAGTTTTGGGGTTTAGGGTTTTTAGAGTTTAGGATTTAGGGTCCACCAGTCTGCTCTATCAATGAACATACCCTCAGTGAGACCATAAGTTCCTATATCTTTTCTCACTATTTCTAAATGTGTCCTTTTCAACCCTATGCCCATTTGGAGCCTTCTACTTGAACCAACTAGCACCTCCTGACATGCAAAATTATAGAAGATCTCCTTTAAGATCAAACAATTCCATCGAATTGAGTATGATTGTATGTGAAATAGCATCTATTATACTAGGAATATTAATGAACCCAATTATTGCAATTGCTCAGGATATCTTCTTTTAACTTCTAGGGTATATTTCTTTGTTCAAGATCCCTCTTACTAACTGGAATAAAAGAATTAGTAGATCTTTTCCGCTCAAAATGGGGATGGGCTGGGGTTATGAACTTATAATCATGGAATCAACTCGATCATCAGATTATAAGTTCATTCCATATGTAAATAGATACTATGGATCCCTATGTCGTTACATTCCATTTAGGTTAGGAATAGGCGTAATCAGACCTGATTTTTACATATCTATTGCTTTGGGTACGACATTCACTTCGTTTGGGCTTCTATTGAATCGAGAATAAAAATAAGTTTGATTGTACATCATTTATAAGCCATCCTTTGGATATATATATGGTATGTGCTGCACATGGCCAACCCACTTAAGTCATGCATACCATGTTTTCATGTTACCAACTAAAATATATACAAGGGTTTAGGGGTTTGGGGTTTAGGATGAGACAAACATAATTGTCCATACTTTCCGAGAATCAAACTTATGAGCCACACTATGAAGCTCTGGGAGAGAGTGATCGAGTGTATCAAGAAACCTATTCGATTTTATGTCATGGAGGTCAACAAGCGATGTTATTTTCCTACTTAGGCAACTGATTGAGAAGTTTAGGGCAATGGGAAAAGGGCTCCACATGATCTAGAGAAATCTTATGATAGAGTACCTCGAGATTTGATTTGGTTGGTGTTGGAAGTGAAAGGAGTTTCTAGACACTCCATCGATTTGGTGTGAGATATGCATGATGGAGCGGTAACTAGTGTACGAACAATTAGCGGAGAGACGAGTGAGTTTTCAGTGACAATAGTTCTACATCAGGGATCTACATTGAGCCCATACTGCTTTGTCTTAGTTATGTACGAATTAACCGAGCACCTATAAGATGAGGTACTGTGGTGCATGTTGTATGTGGGTGATATAGTTTTGAACGATGAGACATGAAATGACGTGAACACAAAATTAGAACTTTAGAGGGATGCTCTAAGATTTAGAGGTTTCAAAATTATCCGGATTAAGATAGAGTACACTTTAATGATGTTCTAATGTACAACATTGGTGAGCAGGTGCATATGGAGCACTTACGGGTGGTGTTTTACTTGATACGGGTTATGTTGTTTCAGCCGAGGGGATTAAGATTGACCAACGGAAGGTAACATTTATCAGGGATTGGCCTACTCCTATTACAGTGCATTATGTTCGCAGTTTTCATGGGTTGGCTACTTTTTATGGGAGGTTTATTAGAGGCTTTAGTTCAATCATAACTCATATCACAGATTGTCTGAAGAAGGGGGATTTGTATGGACTGATGAAGCTGAGAAAATTTTTCAGTTGGTGAATCAGAAGATAACTTCAGATCGGGATACGAAGTTTCTCAACCATTTTTTGGGAACTTTGTGGAAGAAATTGGGCACTCGGTTACAATTTAGCAGTGCTTATCATCCGTAGACAGATGGCCAGACTAAAGTGGTAAACCGTACTCTTGGCAATCTTTCGAGAAGTATTGTGAGGTAAAAGAAGAAACAATGTGACCTAACACAACCTCAAACCGAGTTTGCCTATAATAGAGTATTCAATAGATCTACTGGTAAGAGTCCTTCTGAAATTTCTTGTTTGTGATAACATAGTTTCTTAAGTTTCTAATTTCTTAGGTTTCTTCCTTTGTGGATTCATATATGAGGATAATTACCTATTAGTGGTGGTGGTTTTGTATTTGTAAGGAGGAGTCTGAGGGTAAGCTGAAGGGAATCTTGGGCTACATTCAGGATGACGTGGGCTCCATCAACTTTGTTGTGGATTGCAGGTATGTAGGTTCAATCTCAACTTATTTTATTCCTTCTACATGGGTTGGTAGGGACTAGTAATGAGCACAAATGTTGTGGGACTATCTTTGGTTGGTTGGTTTGTTTAGGAGTTGGGCTTGGGCTTGAGTAGTTAGCAGTTGACATTTGGCAACGCTACATCTCAAGTTCGATTCCTACAACTGAAATATCTAGCCCAAAAAAAAGAAGAAAAACATATCCACATGCATGGCATTATTGCGGTTTGGGTAGATTCCCCCAAACCTTTCTCCCCCTTTTTGGGGGGCAAAATTACTTAAATACCTCTTTTTGGGGGGTTGTTTTCACCCACAACGTTGCACTGCATGTGCTATGCTCTATGTGGCCGCATATTCTGGAGCATCCTACCGAAGCGCACATGCACTGTTTTACGATGTGCCTCTTGGCACATACCGCATGATGCAGCTGCATATGCGGCAATGTGGCTGCATTTTAAAACATTGGCTTGTTCTTCTTTAGATGTAGCAGTTTCCCTCTATAATTTTCCACATTAATAAAGAAAATTTTGGAGTTGTGTAATCTTTCCATATGAAAAAAATTCTCTTGGAATCGTCTATTTACACTTATCAATAAAGAAAATGGAGGTTCATATGTTTTGAGTTTGTCAAGCATTTCATGGTGGCAGGTTTGTCAGTGTGTGTTGTACGGGTGAAGGGATAGTTTCGAGGCATCCTTGCGACATTTTATTGTTTGTTTCTTATTTCTTAGGCTTTTATATTTTGATATTGTATTGAAGGGTGGAGGATTGCATCAATTACGTTTAGGAGTGTTGTTTTTGTTCTGATTTTTTTTATTTGTATGGAGGAAATGGAGGAACATGGAATAAGGATGGGCTTTTCACTTTTTATTTCTTCTTTTTTTATGGTTGAAAGATTTGTATAGGGGGGCTACGAAGCAAAATAAAATGTAAATGAGGTGTGTGTGAGTGTGTGTTTTTCTTTTTTTTTAGATTTTTTTCCCACTTTTGAAGCTGACGGGTATGGCTTTTTTGTGCCCATCATGGATGTTTTGGTTGTTCATTAATAGCCAGGAGATCTATGACTAGATAAAGGCTGCCATCAAGTAAAGCTTATTGCTTCCACTATATACTCTTATGTTAAATGCTTTGCTCAATCAATCTTATGTCTTTCCAAATTCCCCACCCCCCTCTTTGTGCCCCTCCCCCCCTTCCCTTCTCTGTCTCTCTCTCTCACACACAAATAAGGATAACTTATTAGTGGTGGTGATTTTATTTTTACAAGGACAAGTTTGAGGGTAAGCTGAAGGGGCTACACAAAGGATGATGCAGACTGACTTTCTTGTTAATAGCAAGTATGTAGCTTTAATCTCAACTTAGTTCATTCTTGCACTATGGGTTGTTAGGGACATGAGAATGAACATAGATGGAGGGGGATTATGTTTGATTTTTTAGTTTTGATAGGGCAAAGGATTTTATAAAGGTTTGACTTTCGACAAAATTTATCTTTTTGATGACAAGTCCACCTTTTTTGTGGCATTCAAAAAATGCAAAAAATTAAGAAAATCATTGTTTCTGAACTTGTATAATCTTGGCTATTGTACCATGGCAATTTTTCCTAAATTTGAGTCAGAAAATATTGGTAATTGTGTATTTCTATTTAAAAAAATATATCATTGGACATCAAATGATCAGTTCACAAGTTTTTGTTTTGACATTTGTTGCATATGCATCTTTAGAAGGATAATAACAAACAAAATATGGCCTGGAATCCCTTTTGAACCATACAAAATCGAGATTCTTTTGCCTTTTTCTCATGCAACATCACATAAGTCCAGGCATATATGACAAAACGATCTATCATGCCCCTTAGTAAAATTCAATGAGTGTGGGTATGTTATGGTCCAATGCACCCTCCAAGATAGGATATTTTCCTTGAGGTGAGGTGGGTCATTCTCTAACATCACTGTTTATATTTGATCTGAACATCCAACAAAGCCAAGTGAAAGAGAATTCTCTCACTGAAGAAACACAACCGCTTCTCCATGACAAAATTTAAATGGATTTGTAAAAATGAAGTTTTCTTGTATTTTATTTTTCTAAAATTTACTTGATGTTATTGCAGTTATCTATAGTTTGCTTTCATTCCTTTCTCATTTTGTAGAATAGATATTTAATTTGTTGAGATTGAAAGAGTGACATGTCCCTAATATATTGAGTTGTCTAACTCTCAAAATTTCTTTTAGTTTTTGAATAAGAGTATTCGTAATTTCGTGCTTGTTGTTTCTTTCTTGAGTTTTTCTTGTAGGTATGGTTTCTCTCTCTCTCTCTCTCTCACAATCCATTAAGAACTTGTCTTGGACACTAGATCATGGTTGAGTTCGATGTTGCATTGGCTGATTGCATCTATGAACTCACTTTCGTTGTGTATCGCATGATCAATGTAGAAATGAGTAGGGTTAAGTTGGTACCTTGCTAAGTTTAGGGGCGTCATAAGCTATGAGTTAAATTCCTCATCTATAATTTTCAAAGGGCCATACTCTGCTTCGTCATTGCCTAATATTTTTTTGATTTCATCCATGGCAATCTCATTGCTTTCTAAATATGACCTATTGTTCCTTCTCACTATGAACCAACTACAGTCCCTTTACTAATAGGCTAAAAATACCTAATGCACACTGATCCAGTCCAAAATCGTGAGTCCAAAATAATATTAACCCCTCTTTCCTATGTGCCTTCTTAGCCCACGTGCTTTCGTCAACTCTATACACTTTGCATATAGTTATCAATAAGAGTTGCCTCGTGTTGTGCATCACATCACATCCAGGTATGTCTTCTTTTTTAGAGGCTTTGATGGATGTCCTTTAGAGTGCAAGTGAAAGAATTCTCCATCTGTTCACTTTTTTTGTGTGGTTGACTGGTGTTGTTCAGTCTTGAAACTATTTTTAGTCATCAATCATCAACATTTAGTTCATTCAGTTTGTTTAGAGTGCCATAGACCTAACTGTGTAAGGAGATGTCTTGTTCTCAAATTTCCATAATTTGTTCTCTAACACTCATATTTAAAAAACATCGTGGGTAATGATAGATTGAGATGTATCCAACTTTGTTTTGTGCACATGGGAGTGAGAGTGTACACATATATCCATGCTTCTTGTTTTTTAGTAGTAATCCAAGTAAGATCTTGTAGGCATTGTAAGAAATTTTTTGGGTCGGTGATAGTCAGATGGATACATGCCTAAAATTTCAGATAAAAAAAATAAAATAAATTAAGATTCACACAATCCCAATGATCCAATGAGGGAGTTTGGAAATTTGAGATTTTGTACTCATTGACAACTACCCTCCATTCCCTAATTCGATAAAAAAGAAAACATTAAGGTAGTTTTAACTAATATAAGGGCAACCTATTGTCAAAAATTTTGGAGTAATTTTAAAATCACCAATAGGATAGGGCATTCTAGTATATATGTAAGTATAAAGGAAGGTGCTTCAGAAGTGCTTTATCCATGTTGGAAACACGACATAACAAGGAAGGTGGAGTTTTCCCATTGTATTAGTTGGGCTAAATTAGAGGTCTCAGTGTGTATAAAATTTTGGTGAATTTGTAAGTAACATTTTTTTCTTCAATTATAACAAACAAAATTGGAATTTTGTCAGCAATACAGGGATTTAGTTCCTAGCTGATAGTGTTGGCCATTATATCCTTTTGACTCACAAAGGTCAGAACTTATATTTGGTTAAATTTTGATCCACAATAGCCAATTAGAAGAATAGCTTCTTCTGGACTAATGGTTTCAATGCTTTTACTACGCAAGTGGTGCATTGCCTTGTGAGCTAACAATTGTGAAAGAGGTACCAGCAAGCCAATGAAAACAGTAAAAAAACCACTACCAAGTCTTTGAGAAAATAAGAAATGTTAGCTTCAACTAACCGTATGAGTTCATATAGGAAAATGTGGAACGTAAAGGACGGAAATTTGATTTTTTTTTTCTGTGGTTTCTAAGGAAATAAATGTAAATCCCTCGAGAGCCTTGTATTTAGCAACTGCTTTAGGGAATAATGTACTTATGTATTGGTTTAAACATATGACCATTCTTTAGATATATTTGGTTGTAAAGGTACTGGCATATTTTCTTGTTTCAAGCAAAACCTTGACATTTTGGGTGTTTTCTAATTGAGCAATGGTTTTCCCATCTCTTTTGAAAGAGTGATGTATGTGTCTTCAAAACTGAAAGTCACAAGGATTGATTTTATGATCCTCATGGGTAATTGCTAAGACTTTAAAAAAAATTTATTGCAGTAATCACATTGACAAAGTTGGTGAAACATCTTGTGGATGGGCTCTAGAAGTTGCATGAGAGTGCTTCAATTCTCATTCTAGAAGCAAATATTCATTTGAAAGAAGTCCAGGATGAAGGCGAGGAAGATGAGGATGATGGAATTGAAGATGTTGATGAAAATGAATGTGATGATGAGAATGAGGATGCAAGTTCCCCCCCCCCCGAGCCCAGGCGGCCGCCGCATGAGAGTGATTACATTGACAATGTGACAATATTTTGAAGACTGGAAGTGTCTGCCTATGTGGCGAATTGGCCAATCAATTATTGTTGATTTGGTTATTTTAGGATTCTGAAGAGGATGATCATGAAGAAACAAAGGAAGAATTTCTGGAGAGATACGCACTGGTAGCTCATGAATTGGAGAGTTAAACGATTGAAGAAGATGAGGATCATGTAGATGATGAGACCCATAAAATTGAAATAGGTAAACCTTGTCCTCTTTCCTTTTGTTGCAAATTGAACAATGACTCTCGTCCTAATTATTCTTTCATTCTATCTTGCTTATTTGCCTAGTCTGATTCCTGAGGCTCTGTAACAATTGAATATGATCTGGGAGGATTGGATTAGCAAAGAGATGTCTTCTTGATAAAAGAACATCAGCATCTCCTTGCATTTGGACAGCGGATACGTTTTGAACATATTTCAAGTTTCACTGAATGCTTCCCTAAATGTGTTCGAGTCTTTACAGCCTCCTGTTGAGAAGTTGCATGTATTTTATTTGAGTGAGTTTGTAGTCTTCTGGATTTGTCATTTCGGTTATATTTGATTTATTTTGTAGTCTTTGCTAGGCCCTAGGTATTTTTGGAGTAATTGATTTATTTGCTGTGCTTCTTGCTTGCCCTATTATTTGTGCATAGATCTACATTGCCAACACTTATGTTTTTTATGTTGATTTATCATTTCGGAAATTGAGGTGGTCTTTAGATTTGTTTTTGAATTCTTCAATTGATTTGGTAATTTAACATTGGGTTTTGGAGAGGATGTTTAAAATTGTTTCCGTATGCTCTTAGTATAATTCTAACATTTCCGTGACAACTTCCATGCCAAATTACATATGAAGGAATAATAAGAAAAACATGGCTACCCACACACCGTAGCAAGTGTCGGCTTCAAATCTGTTCCTAAATTGTTGGCCAGTCTACATTTGTTTTTTTTTGAAGTATAACACTTCTATTTTTTTTGTTGATTTATCGTTTCGGAATTTGAGGTGATCTTTAGATTTCCTTTTGAATCCTTCTATTGATTTGGTAATTCAACATTGAGTTTTTGAGAGGGTGTTTAAAAATTGTTTTTGTAGGCTCTTAGTATAATTCCAACATTTCCATGGACAGCTTCCATTCCAAATTACATGAAAGAATAATAAGAAAAACATGGTTACCGACACACCATAACAAGTGTCAACTTCAGTTCGGTTCCTAATGAAAAGTGTGGTTATGTGGAACTCAAAGATATTTAATACATAAATTATATTTTAATAATATTCAATATATAATAAAATACTATTTTATATAAATAATATAGTTTTATATTATATTGTACTATATAAATATATATTAATAAAAAGTATATATAATGCATTGTATTATATATTATAATATGTTATATATAATATATATTTATATTTATATTGTTAATATATATTTGTTATCAAACACTCGAAAGTTCTTTAACCTTTCCAAACGATAAGATTCCACTTCCCAACAAATAGAACCTTTTTTCAGGCAGCGTTCCAGCAAAACAAACGCAGAGTCAAAAAAAACTACATTATGCAAACCGGGAACATTGATAAACCCCCCTCTATGAGACTCAAAAGAACGTTATTATTTAGGGTCCAAAAGAGCCCAATACGATAGAGATTAGCACTTTTTTGTCAATTAAAAATATTCTAATTTTAATTGTAGGGTTTATTTTAGGGGTTTAAATTTTTTCCAAGGATTCTAAAAAAAAAATTTATATTGAATTTTAGGATTTTAAGAGTTGTTAAGAACGTAGAGTGCTCATAGAATATTGTTTTATCTGAGATAAAATTATTATTACATTTTATTTTAACTAAGAATTACATTTCAATTAAAATAAGGATTTATTTGGTTCTAAATAAAGCTTTTTAAATAAGGGTCTATATAGAGAATTTAGAATTCATGGTTGAGTTTTGATTATCTTATTTCGGGTTTAACGTGTGCTGAAACATTGCTTATAAGCTTGTCTTTAATCTTCCAATCAATAGATTATTTATTTTTCTTCTACGCCTAATATTCTTCTACATCACTATCTTGTAAATTAACATGCAACTTACATAACGCGTGTTTTTAGAAATGCGTATTGGGCAGTGATCGTCCCTTTCCATCATCAGATAGTTCCTTCACAGCTGATATAAAATGATTGCTTCTTACATGTAGAGGACTCGGAGAAGACTTCGAGGCCACCCTCTTTCTCTTTCTTCCTCTCTATTCAGGGCCCATCACCGTCTTCTTCTACTTTTAAATCTTCTTCAGGGTGTCCTGCGGGGCCCTGTAGGTGTGAATATAGGCCCATGTGGTTCCCTGGACTGCCTAGACAGCTAGCTTTAAGTAAAAGCATCCACAGAATATAGGTCAAGCATAGGAGGGCCGCATCTGTCCTTTCTCTCTCTTCCGCAAGGATACACACAATTTGTCTTCCATTGTAGTCAATAACAAATAAAAACCAAACAAGATACGAAAACGCTCATAGACTAGGACATTTGCACCACCACATAAAGCTCAAAACTTTCTAGTACAATAGAAACTTGAAATACTCTAGTTTTCAAGACATACTGGGAGCGTCAATTCATCTTCCACAACTGGGTTCCCGTGAAAGTCCATGCTTTTTTAAACTTCTGATGTACTCCCTCACAAGGGTAAACTTGTAGCTCCCCAGATGATAAAGGTAATCCCATGTATATATACCGGTTTTGTGCAAATCATCGAAGAGTATTCTGTTAGGCACAAACGCATAAGAACCCATCAAGCATCGAGATTGAAATGAAATGTAATACATCTGATTCAGACGGAACCGAAAGTACCTTACTCCATAATTTCCCACAGGTTGTGCGGACATGATACCCACATGACGACGACCACATATCACCTGATATCAATGAAAAACATAATAAGAAGAAGATTATATATTGGTAAACCAACTTCTGGAAACATCAGATTTTCCACCTTTTCACCTCCCATTGTCCGAACCTTGCTATTGACAGCAGGGCTATATATTCGTAGAAATTCAGCAGAGAGACTAAATGTGCTCCGATCACCAAATTCCACCTCTACCTAAAATAAGGAATCGAAACACCACGTCAAAAGCGACTAATAGTGGTAAAAAGTTTAGGGTAACCCAAGATGGCTATTTCATCAGTCTTTTCTACTTTCCTGTCTTGATTTGAGATGAGACAGGAATGGCCTCTGGGCCTGGATGGTCAAGGTGGGGGTCTGCCACAATGTGACACCTAGAGTTTCATTTTTACCACTAAAGTACGAAGAAAAAGAAAAAAACTGAGACGAGATGATAAGGATTGCAAACTCAAGTTCTTTTACCATTAAACACTTCCGCCAAATTTCTCGATCCCAAAGAAACTAATAACGTATTACTAAGTTTGCAAATTATAACAGAAGAGCACGTATACTATGCTCCTGTTGAGCATATACTGTACACCTACTCCCTCGGTCAGAAGACCTCCTTTAGTGGAATTTTTCCAATCTGAAATTTTGGTAGCTACCTAAGAATCACTAGATGATTATTTTCAAAAGAAAATATTTGAATTTTGACTTTTCTAACACTTAGATCTCACCTTCCAATTGGAGGGTCTATATTCAATATAGAGATATTAATTTTTTCAAGTGCATGGAGAGTGCCATTTGGAAAAACAAATTTATTGAGGTAGTCCATGGGTTAAAGAGTTCACATCCCAAAATTGAGGATCTTAAAACTCCTAGATTGGGTTTAACATGAAAGAATAAATGGACAATATACTCCGCGAGACCATGAAATATTTTGGCATAACAGAATTCATTGAAAGGATTGGCACATAACACTATTTCATATATAACATCCACTTCATAGTATGACGGCCCTTCGCAGAGCAAGTTATACTCCAGCAATGAATGTGGACTAGGTTTACACACTACCAAGAGGCAAGTGAAGGCCCAGCAGGCTTCAACAGTGAACAAGTAGCTGAGTAGCTATAACCACCAAGAAATGAATTGAACCAACAGTGAGACTAGTAACAATGGATAAGAAGACCAAATAATCATCAACTATGAAGTGAGAGAACTGCTGATGTTAAGAGTGGTAGCTACTCCCTAAGAAAGTCTGCATGCTACATTGACTGAAGGACCAACACTTAAAATAGGTGGGAACAGATTTCACAAACATTTGTTCCACCACTTTAAGAGCATACTAGCCATGCCGTGAGTAGCCGAATCTCTGCGCCGTGCGTGTTTTGCTTCCTATCTTCATCTACGGATCTACATTTGCTTGGGTCTAATGCATCAATGCAAAACTAATAAGACGATAAATTACATGGGTGGCTGTCTCTTGACTACTTGATCACAACAGCTTTATTCTGGCCAAAACTCAAGAACTTGCCTAACAGCAGGAGCTTAAATCCTGCGTTCATTTCTTTTCACAATGTGCATCGGTTGTGCAGAATCCATATAAAATGTAAATGTGAAGATTTCATATAAAATGCAAATACCATGTTTGATTGGCTTCAAGAATGAGTTATCATAGTGGAAGATGAATAATTTCCTTAACTGAATAGTCCTCAAGTCCAAAAAGGGTGTATCTAAAATGGTTTCTACCATTGTTTAAAAAAATCGCTGGGCCGACTCCAAGTCACCCGAGTCTTAACAAATTGGAGCCACCTAATTCCAGGCTGAAAAATCAAAGAATCATCCACATCTACCAATTTTTTATATATTTTTTATCGTTAAACAATATATAAAAAAACTCAGACTCGCCTGAGTTGGACCAGGGGGCCTTGGGCTTGGCCCTTTGGCAACCCAAGTCGGACTTTTTAAACACCGGTTTCTAGCGCCTAAGTAATAATAAGAATTGCAAAATGCAATATATAACTAAACCACCACGACATCATCTAGCATGGATATGTTGGGTGCATATCCTTTTACATATTTCCATGCAAATTTCTTTTTTTCTTGATATGACCCACCCACAAATTGCAAATGCATTTGCATTTGCAGAAAATTCATGAACCTTCTCAAAGGAACAGAATACATGAAATAATCGTGCTCCCCATAGATATCACCGTTCAAGGTTAGGAAAACCAGATAACTGCAATGGTTTGACAGTGATACATATGAGTCCCATCTTTATTTTGTATTAAATTTTCTTGTCGAGTGACATGACATCTTGGTAAATCAAGTAAACTAATTCATCAGATTGTCAATTCTGAAACATTTTTATTGATGACAAATTGAACTAAAACTTGAAAAGAATAGAGCACCACAAACTCATAGTTTCCACTTCGTTACGGTGTTACCTTCATTGCCATCCTAATCCAGGAAAGTGCAACGACGATTTAT